AGTACCTTCATAAGCTGTTCGTGAACTTTAGCTGCATCTGCTGGACTGAAGTGTCTGGCTAGTATAGTGGATACAATCGGCCACACTCCTCCCTGCGGGCTGCTGCTGCTGCTGCTGCCGCCGCCGCCTGCCATCCCCGGAGCTGCAGCCCTCTCCCCCACGGGACGGATAACAAGATTCAATTTAGCCTCGGGCCCAATGGAGTAATCGCTCAGTCTGTGCTCGTCTGAGAGAAACGTGACAATCCATTACCACAACTTCAAACAAAAGGACGGTTGGATGTATATCAGTTGTGAGATGCTTGTCGGTAAGTCTACCTGCAAGCGCTTTCCCTTTGTAGAGTAACCGCTGCTGGTTTGCAGGGATGTTCAGTCGTTCCGACACAAGCTCCTTCACCGTGGAGACTTTCTCATCTTCGGTGACCTACAGGATCAACAGCGCAATGATTCGGTCGCAGCTTCGCGCAATTCCCTTTCGGATCCATCGCATCTTATTTGTCCTCCTCCACATTGCAGATGGTTACCCAGATAATGATCTCACGGCAAACAATTGAGTGACAGCCAAATAGCTGAAATTTATCTGATTCACAAGTGAGTGAAAAACTTTGCTTGGGTAAGGATACACAGGCATTTCATTTATCTGGACATGCAGCATAATAACAGTATGATTATAATCTGATTCAAAAAAAAAAAAAAAAAAAGTTCAAATATGATTAATACCACACTTCTGTTTTGACAATGGTGAGTTGCTATCACAAAATAAAGGATAACACATGCAATGTTTAATTTTTAATGTTCATTTTTGGAATCTTATTCAAATGAATTCTTACTACTGTTTTACCTCTCTGGATCTTTTTTACATCTTCAAATTAAATTTCATGGAGAAAAGACCGAGGCCTACCATCCACCAAAACATCATGTGTCTCCAGCTGCATTGCTCCAAAACATGCGGAATGAGCCGCACAAACGCACCAAACATCCAAATGATGCGATGCATCAGAAACTGGCTTTTCCCATCTCACTGAGAAACGCATCACTGGAAAGTTATGATCTCGTCTGCAGGCAATTTTACAGCTGGCCGTCTTTTCTGCAGTGTGTTCAAGAGCGATTTTGCAAATGTGAGGAGACGGGAATGCTTTCACTGCCACCGATTTTTAACACCGAGTTTTTGTGGAGGAGCCACTACTTGGAGGCGAAGGCTGAAAGCATAGAAGACGACGGGGATGAAGGAAAACATCAAGCAACTCAGCAGTAAGATAACTACGAAATGCTACAAATTAAGAGGATGTCAAATACAGTAATTTGCTGGATTCGGTCATGCAAACCATTTGGCTGTATGCAAATACAAAAGTCTGAATTTATGGCTCTGATGTAGAAAATCTGGATATTTTTCTTTAAAAAAAAAAAGTAAAATTTGTTATTAAACAATAACCTTTAGTCACAACATCTTGTAGCTTATAGCCAAAATCTTTGTGCAAACTGGACATCTAACAAAAACATTGATGGGAGTCATTAACTAGTAATAAACTTCTTTAACAAAATTCATATTTTCCCCTTTTTTATGATTAAACTAGCAGCACGTAATTTCAGCAGTGTTGGTTTGTGAAAATATAAGTGACCGTTATCTGCTTTTGACAGTGCTTGTGATTCTGACATGTTTTGTTAAAAACATAATAAATAAATAACTGGTATAATTATAACATTACACAAAAATGATCACAAGGCTGATTTACAGCCTTTGCACATTTTTCAGAAATAACTGCTGCTGCAAACACAAGACAAATGTGACATCTGGAACTGATTCTGGCTGCAGTCACAATGGCAGCTTGCAGCAAACAATACGGCAAATAAATTCCTTCGAAAGAGACGGCATATGGCAGCCTTCTCAAGTTAGTAATTAGAAAGCCTGATGTGCAAACATTAATCAGTTGTCAAATGTTTAATAAGAATCAGAAGATATTCTGGACCATAGACCTTCTGTTGCTCAAAAATCATCTTTGCTTGAGCTTTCCACTCGGGTCGTCTAGGGTCAACACGGAGTCACGGTGTTGTTCGACATATGACCTGCCAAATCCGATGTTCAAAAAGAAAAATAGGAAAATGTTTGCCAATTCCAACAGAGGTAATAGCTTTGAGTAAAACAGAAAATGAAGAAATTACAAAATTATGCCCAATTAAAGTCCATGGAAGTAACTGTTAGCAGATTTACTTAAACTAAAATAAAAGTTTAAAGTATCTCGCTTGATGCATAAAGACTGGAAATTGAGTTGTTTTTTTTTTTATCTTAGTAAAATCATTCTCTGAACGGAGCAAATCAAAAGAAAATTGGGCGATTCTAACCACTGGTTGACTGATTGATTCGTGCATCTCTGCTCTTTTCACAATTAGTGCAGTTCAAAGTTCTGCCATCTCTTTTTGGGTGCTAAAACTACCAACTAATTCCTGGTTTATTAAATGTAGTTGCACATTTGCAACGCTATAGAGACATTTATTCAAGGTAGAACAAAACAAAAACAACTCCATCCATATCCATCCATCCAGCCCCAATCTCTTGATTGGTGATAATGCCATTGTCTATGCTGTACTGCTAAAAACAAACTGCTTTTCTTTCACTGTTGCTGGTTGCAGTTTTGAAAATTCCTGGTGATAGTGTAAAAGAAATGTACAAAGAATATTCTTTGACATCTATTTTAAATGTTCAACCTTCCTATCAGCCACATGGTTGGAACTTATTTCTAAAGTTTTTAGTCCAACAAAACTGTGTTTGATTTACCAGAAGATAGGTTACAATTTTTACGTCACAGCACAGTTAATATTTTAAAGTGTCAAATAAATAAAAGTTCAAATGAGTACATGCCTTATTAGCCTATGAAAGGTTAAAATTATGTTCCAACATTGACATAATTTATAGTTCATTTTCATGCTTTTTTACTTTTGAGGAAGCATATTCTTTGTTGCTCTTTTTAGATGTGAAACTATATCCACCCTGAGCTTTGGACTGAATAAAGGGATACTCATTCTAAACATTAAAATGGCAGAACACTTCAAGATGGATTTTTGAACTACAACTGTCCACTCACATTTTTTAATTAGGCTGTTTTTAATGTTTCTTTCAAAGGTTGAATGTAAATTAAAGAACACTAACATTCCCCACAAGTTGTAGCTGTCCTAATTTCAACCTAAACAAATTATCTTATTGAGATATTAATTGTCCCTATCTGAGTATTATTTTTTTGGTGACATACCCAAGACTTCTCCAAAAATCTTAGCCCTGGTGATGAAAACAGCAGTAGTATTTCGTTATTTAGTCTATTTCTTGGTTGTGCATTAATTTCCAGCATTATCCGCCTAAAATATGAGAGGAACAAGACGACATCTATGCGCATTCTTGAGTAATCGGTCTCAAATTTTTCAAGTTGCTGGTGTCTTGCTGTTAGGTGTTAGTTATATTGTGGCAAGAAAACTAAACTATTTACAGCTACAGACTCAGAAACTGTCCTTTAATTAAAAAAAAGTATTCAAGAGTGCAGTGTACCCTCTTATCTCCTCTATTGGCCTGTAGAGAAAGGCTTCTAGAAAGTATGTTACAACAAACCGCTAACGGTTTAGCCATCATGCTAACCATGAGATACTTTTTATTTACCCACCAACCGAGTTTAACTAAGCAGTGCACTTTAGGCAAATTTAACTGAAAACGTATATGTGGTTTACTTCAGTAGGATTAACATCAGCCTGTTAGTGAACCACCACAGTTAGCTCACCTGGTTAGCCAATTGTGTGCATTAGCTGCGTGTAAGTTACCTGAACACTGCACTCCTTTCCTTGAAGCGGTTTCACGGTGAGGATCATTTTCTAACACCTCGAACAAACGAAACACAGCAGAAATATGTTGAAAGTTTAAATATTAAAACGCTCTTAGTAAGGTTTTTGATAGTTCGTAACAAAACTGCTGCTCCCTTTAACTATAACCCATCTTCTTCTCCAGCAGCAGCAGCTCTCGGCGGACACTAGCGCCGCCTTCTGGTTAAACCTAGTCATTCTCTGAATAGATGTCACCACACACGTTTATTGACGTTTTTCTCGGCCGCTTTAGTGCACTTCTCAGAGCAGAGTTGAAATTAATACAACTACTTGTTCATCTTCAAATCACTGGGTCACTTGTGCACATAAAAAGCAGTTTCTCATTCCTTTGAGAAAGTGGCAAATGCTTTACATCCATACAAGTGATTTTGTACAATTCTCTACAATTCTCTACAATTGAAAATTTGTCATTTTCAATTACAAATGCAATATTGATCAACATGTGATATGGGTCTCTGTTGAATAGTCTCAACCTCCACAACATTTAAGCATAAGTTAAATGTAAGTCTTACAGTAGGATACCAGTCTGCTAGGAGTTAACATTACCTGATCCATGAAATTTTTAAAGAGCTCTGAGCAGTGGGCGCAGTTTTTACAATTTATGCTGTAGTATAAATTAGACTGCTTTTTACAGAAAAAAATCTATCTATCTATCTATCTATCTATCTATCTATCTATCTATCTATCTATCTATCTATCTATCTATCTATCTATCTATCTATCTATCTATCTATGGAGTTTCTCATAGAATAAAACGCTACAACAAAAAGGTTTTCTTCTAGAAGGGGCTTTATCAGGTGTGTGAAGGGTGCTATTTATCGACAGCATTCTGTTAATCATTGGTTTCATGATTAGTTAAATTACTGAAAGACACGGAATACACAATTTCACAGAAAAAGGTAAAAGATCATACATAAAACGCTCAGAACAAACACTGACAGAAGAAGTACAAAGTCTACACCTGACGCACACTTCTTCCTTTCTTTCTTCCAGTGAAATGATTAATGTTTTTCGCTCAGTTTGGCGGATCCTCCCATGGGCTCCTTCAACCACTCTCCAAGGACCCATTGACCCAGTTCGGATCCAGTCCATGCATTTGTCATTACCCCCTCCCTCTCCCGGACGGCGTGGGTCATGTGATTGGCTGGCTGCGCCGTCTGTGCAGCCGCGGCCAGCGGGAGAGAGGAGCGGAGCATCCTTCAGTTGGGCGCTTTCTTACAGAAGAGATGTGCACCTGTCGCACGGACTGCCCGCTGACAGACATGCACAGACCCGCAGGAGACAAGTGAGACAATCACCCCTGCATCGATAGGGTAAGAGATCGGATTGTGTGTTTGGCCAGAAATCGCGTATGTGCATTGAATTTACTGGATTTTGTTATGTTTGTTCAAGTGTCTGTAGAGTCATTGCAGTTTCATTTCTTGTTGTCTTCTATTTTCTTTGAGTAAAATACGAGGATAGAAAAACACAACTAAATCTATCTATCTATCTATCTATCTATCTATCTATCTATCTATCTATCTATCTATCTATCTATCTATCTATCTAAACATATGCAGGTGATGGGTACACTTCGGGACCTCCAGTTTGCACTGCAGCTCAAGATTGAGGAGCTCCGTCAGAGGGACACACTAATAGATGAGTTAGAGCTGGAGTTGGACACAAAGGACGAACTCATCCGTAGGCTGCAAGAAGAACTAGACCGCTACAGAACTGCCCTCTCCCTCCCTGCACCCTCCGCAGTCGTAGCAGGTGTACAGGGTTTGATGCTTTTTAATGTGTGATATCTTGGGAGGGGCAACAAGTGCCACAAGCTTTAACCTGACCTAGAATCCTGACATGTTGTGTGTGTGCGTGTTGTTTTTCTCCTACTGTAGCTTCTGCAGCTCAAATTGAGGACAACCGGAGTGCAAAAAGGCAGACAGTCATTTCAGAGCCCTTCAGTCCAGACCCTATGACAATCGCAGTGGTTTCGCACAGAAGCTGTGACAAAAGCCAGGAGTAAGAGCACGCGCTGTTCCCTCAGATCATACCAGCTCTGAGTGAAAACTCTCACTCTTGTTGACTGCTAATCAACAAGTATCCCTTCAAGACCTCTTGCAAGCTTTCAGCAGACTGCATTCAAGGTGATAAATGACCAACAGTGTGACATATGCGTCATGTCTTTATATCCTCAGATCTCGAAGGCTGATCCAGGCGGCGCTTTTGAAAAATGACTTGTTGAAGAACCTTGATGAAGAAGAAATCAAGGCAGTCACTGCCTGCATGCGCCGAGCAACCATCAATCAGGGCTGCTTTGTTTTCCAGGAGGGCACCTCCGGGGATCAGGCTTTTGTTTTGGAAGGTAAGTCATTGTCTTCTTAAGATCAACAACATTCACCTCACTTCAAGTTGTTTATCAGGACTTAGCCTGGATTGCAGGTGCTCCAGTGCAAATGTGATTACATTCTTCTCTTAAAATTTCCATTCTGTTGCGTTCTGGCTCAGGCTGTTGATTTGATTGGACACGATTGCATGCCACTCTGAAGCACAGTTATGAAAATGAAAGGGATCTATGCTGTTATTCTGGGCTGAAATCTAAGGAGGTAGCAGAAAAATGGCTAATGGTTCCTTGAAGAGGTGAAACTGTTTGCAAGGTGCCATCTCCCTGCTTTATTCTACAGAATGAACTGTGTCTACACTGAACCTCTCACCCTCAAACACACCACATCATTTGACACAAAAGTACACAGCAAGTATTTAAATGTCTGTACCTTACATAACACTCATATCCCATGAACTCCAGTAGCAATCTGTGAAAACGGAGTGGTTCAAAAGTTCAGCTTCCAGCAGGACAATGGCATTAAACTCAGAGCTACAATGCGACTGTTTAGTTTAGATCAAAGTATGCTCATGTGTAGTAGTGGCCTAGTCAAAGTCTAGACCCAAATTCAATTGAGAATTTGTAAAAATCATTAAAACTTATTTTTACATATGATTAAGATGTTTCACAAAGACTGTACAGCTCTAGCAGAGACATACCCTAAAGTACTTCCTTATGGCCATAACTGCAGCAAATATTAACTTTTAAGTTTTTTCAGTGATGAATAATTTTGAAAACCACATATCCTTTCTCTTCTACTTCACAATCGTGCACTACTTTATGTTGGTCTGTCATGTAAAACCTCAATGGTAATATTTTTTATGTTTTGCTAACATGAAAAGCTGCGAAGATGTTCATATGATGTTTTAATTTGTCTATTTTCTTGGCAGAAGGAAGACTGGACGTGACAAAAGATGGACAGAAGGTGCTCACCTTTGAGCCGGAGGACATGTTTGGAGAGGTGGCGCTCCTCTACAACTCCACCCACACCTACTCTGTCTCAGGTAAGCGTTATGTTGACGTCTTTTTACAACGAAATACAATTATCACTCGAGGAATGTCACAGGGGAAAACTGATGGTGGGGGGGGGGGGGGGGCCTTTTTTTTTCTTTTTGATTTGGAGGAAAAATAAAAAA